AAATTGCATAGTGTATGGCCAGCCTTAGTGCTCTGGATTGAGACAATCACACACTATAGAGGGTTATGCTTTGTTCATATTTCAAGTCTGAGGTTTACAACCACTTTAAGGTGTACTGATATATATATATATATATATATATATATATATATATATATATATATACACACAGTATATATGATATCAAACTTACTGCTGCTAACAGCACTTTTCACTTATTGAATGCTATGAAGGTAACGCATTCACAAATGAATGACATTAAATAATAAAGCTGATTACAAATCTATTGCTGTGCACACTGGACACCAAAATTAGGGTATTAGGCAGGGGCGGACTGACAACTCATGGGGCCCCCAGGCAATAGGGGATCATGGGGCCCCTGTGTCCTTGCCCAAACTCAAAAAAGCCTATGAAAAAGGTACCAGGGGCATCTCATGGGGCCCCCTACTGACTCCGGGCCCTTGGGCAGTGCCCAAATTTCCAAATGGTCTGTCCGCCCCTGGTAATAGATGAAAGCCAGAAAAACATGATGGACAATCACTTACCCGTCTGGAAAACAATGTGCTGCAGTGACCACCCAGCAGGGATGAATAAGACTTCCTCCACACTGAAAGAACAACTGCTGTTTGTTTCTGCGGCTGACTTGGTAGAGTGTGGCTATCCATGGCTGGGATTCAATCGGACTGCTCATTCCACCAACAATTTTATACAGCTTGTGCTGGCGGCGGCCACAAGAAGGTTCTGCATTGTAAAAATAGACTAAGGTCACTGTGGTTCATTGACAAAGTCATAGGTATCAGTCATAAGTTAAAAAGAACACAATCTGACATCTGCATTTGGGTTAGAGTCTCAGCCTGGGCTTGTTTAAAGCATCTGAACTGCAGGTGATGATGCCAAATGTTCCAGCATATCTGGAATTGTTTAACACCAACCTGTTTTTTCCACTGTTGGAGATACTGTTGTTTCTTCTGGTTCACATTTTGGGATCTGACAAAACATAGTGGAAATCCCTTTGGGTCCCCTAAAGTAGCACCATGGTCTCATTCCATGCTCTGGGTTTCTGCAAGAGAAAAAAAGATATAAAGGTTACTATTTAATCATCAGAAAGCATATAGAACATAGGCTTATACGGCAATATTTCTACATATATAGGACACCTTGATGTACTTATTTATACCTAAGGACTTCTTCATAAATAAAGGATTTACCAAAAACATCTGATTTTAGAAGGCTAACTATTCCAAGCAAAAAGTGCAAAAACGTTTATCACAGTGGGTATGTATTTTTTGTATAGTCAAGTTGAGTCTTTCAGCCTCGTTTATGAAAACTTTGATCTGGATTTGCTATACAACTGGTTTCTGTTGTGGTGGATGTATCCTTTGGCGATTCATCTACATAAACTACCTTTAGGATAATGTTGCTTTGGTTTATTTAGATTGCTCAGAACAAAATAATGTTGTATTATGCATGAGCATTCCTGTTCCTATCGACAGGAGAGAGGAGTAACAGGTCACACAGGACCCAGATTATGATTTATCACCACCAAGTTACTAAAACTCTGATTTTCCTGGAGCATTTGTATTGTAGTAACTTATTGAATGGTTTAAAGCCAAATTATATGTACCCCTTTATGTTATGATTTCTGCTTGGAAATGTCTTTAAATACCTTGTTCTCTGAATGAAGTTGTTGCTTCATGCCCTTCTACTCCAGTGCTCTGTGCTGGCAGAGCTGAGTAGCAGCCACACCCCTAATCACAAATAAGCCCAGGCAGACTTGTATTGAAGAGAAATGGATGGAGCCAGTGCTTGTTATTGAACTGGACAATCAAATTTACACACCCTGCACAACTGCTGTAACAGTAGAGTGGAGTTAACACTATGAATATAAATATTGTTAGTATTCTAATGTCTATCTGACTGCTTATCTCTTTCCAGGGCTTTAATGAGCCTTCAACCATTGAGACATGTAGAACATTACCTGCAGTAGTTGTGCTTCCCTAGACCATGCTTTAAGGCATCCTTCATGTTGGCATTGAAATAATGATTTCTTAGGAGTGGGGAGTCCCAGCGCAGGCAGTTATAGTTGTGAGTGGTTTTGGATGCAGTACCTCTATAGTCCTGGCCCCTGTCTTTGTAGCATGTAGCTGTAAGAAAAGTGGCACTGTGAGCTCAGAATCGCAAAAAAAATGAATTTCATGTAAGAACAGCAACAATTAAGGGGATTTGCCTTATACCTGTTTCACATTGTTTTCCAGTATATCCTATAGGGCAGGCACATCTGTAGGGTCTGCGGAGGGTTCTTTGATACAAACAGGTTCCTCCATGTAAGCAGACACAATCTAGAGCGAGAGAAAAAAGTACATAAACAAATGGAATATAATGCAATACCATGTGTACCTTTTCGTGAGGAACATGAATAAGTCATAGTCAATCTAATTAAGCCACCTTACTTGACCTATTTTATAAAGAAAATCCCACTGCAGCAGACACATTGCAAGGAAAGAGTATCTTTAATTTGATTAAATTCTGCAGATTATTAAAGGATAATCAAAGGTTTTTATTGCTGTCTGTGTCCCCATTAGGAAGATTCACGCTCTCTGTTTGTGGCTGCCCAGCTGCATTCTGGACAAAGGTGGTCAGCCACTCTGCACAAGCGCCATTTAAAGAACACTTTGCATTTACTGAAGGAAGACAAAGGATCCTCTGATTAGACAAGATGAAGAGGCAGAATGGTGATGTCATCCTCTACACCTTTTCCAATCAGAGAATGCTTTGCATGCATTCAGAAAATGCAAAGCATTCTCTGAATTGTACCCTTGCTGAGTTGCTTGCCTCCTGTGTTGAGAATGCACTATGTATATGTCATTCCTCTGTGCTGTTAGTATATGTCCTTCCTCTATGTGCTCTTAGTATTTGTCTGTCTTCTATTTGCTCTTAGTATATGTCCTTCCTCTATGTGCTCTTAGTATATGTCCTTTCTCTACGTGCTCTTAGTATATGTCCTTCCTCCATGTACTCTTAGTATATGTGCTTCCTCTATGTGCTCTTAGTATATGTCCTTCCTATATGTGCTCTTAGTATATGTCCTTTCTTTATGTGCTCTTAGTATGTGTCCTTCCTCCATGTACTCTTAGTATATGTCCTTCCTCCATGTGCTCATAGTATATGTCATTTCTCTATGTGCTCTTAGTATGTGTCCTTCCTCCATGTACTCTTAGTATATGTCCTTCCTCTATGTGCTCTTAGTATATGTCCTTCCTTCATGTACTCTTAGTATATGTCCTTCCTCTATGTGCTCTTAGTATATGTCCTTCCTATATGTGCTCTTAGTATATGTCTGTCTTCTATTTGCTCTTAGTATATGTCCCTTCCTCTACGTGCTCTTAGTATATGTCCTTTCTCTACGTGCTCTTAGTATGTGTCCTTTCTCCATGTACTCTTAGTATATGTCCTTCCTCCATGTACTCTTAGTATATGTCCTTCCTATATGTGCTCTTAGTATGGGTCCCTCTTCTGTGTGCTCTTAGTATGGGTCCCTCCTCTATGTACTCTTAATATGTGTCCTTCCTCTGTGTTCTCTTAGTATGGGTTCCTCCTCCATGTGCTCTTCGTATGTGTCTTTCCTCCATGTGCTCTTTAGTATGTGTCTTTCCTCCATGTGCTCTTAGTATGTGTCTTTCCTCCATGTGCTCTTAGTATGTGTCCTTCCTCCATGTGCTCTTAGTATGTGTCCTTCCTCCATGTGCTCTTAGTATGTGTCCTTCCTCCATGTCCTCCATGTCCTCCATGCTCTTAGTATGGGTCCCTCTTGATGTGCTGTTAGTATGTGCCCTTCCTCTATGTTCCCTTAGTATGTGCCCTTCCTCTACATCCCTTTAGTATGTGTCCTTCCTCCATGTGCTCTTCGTATGTGTCTTTCCTCCATGTGGTCTTAGTATGTGTCCTTCCTCCATGTGCTCTTAGTATGGGTCTCTCTCCTTGATGTGCTCTTAGTATGTGCCCTTCCTCTCCATGCCCTTAGTATGTGCCCTTTCTCTATGTTCTCTTAGTATGGGTCCCTCGAACCCCTCATGTATCACATTGTATTGGTTTCGTACTGTCGCATGTTCTGTCTCCCTTTGTAATGTACAGCGCTGAGCGAACTGTTGGCGCTTTATAAATATTGTATAATAATAATAATAATATGGGTCCCTCCTCCATGTGCTCTTAGTATGGGTCCTTCTTCTATATGGCCCAAAAACACTGAATGAAGAAACAGATTTTGAAAGTAGCCTTTACATTAGCTATACCTAATTTCAATAAATTCTCTTTATATACTACCTACCTTCTCTATTGCTTGTTTTTTTTGGAGAGCGCCTGGAAGACAAAGAAATAGTCTCATCAGTAACAGAATATATTGCAGCTGAAAACAAGGATACATGATGGCCAAAGAAACTTACTGATTCCAGTCCGCTGATGAGCACACAAACAAAGGCTAAGGTCAGGATAAGCTTCATCTTCTCCAATGTGTTCTCTTTGTTGCTGGAATAAGAATGATATACTTAGAGCGTCTGTTATGACAAGTTATATGAGAACCATAAAAAGTATTTTTGTTTGTAGAGGAGCGCATTAAAATATTAGGGGAATGACTCAATATATGTTTATCAGACCAAAAAATATTAGTGCACTTCAAACAGCCAATTAAATGACAGTGTATGTGTCCTATATAAAAGCAAGATGGCAGTGTTGTCAAGTAGACTGAATGTAGAAATCACTTTTACTTTTCACATTCGTACTGCCACTGACAAGAAGGTGAAGTGGCGATGGCTGCCTTGCTTCTGTTCTGGGTTTAAGGTGTATGTCAAGCATTTTTTAAATTATATCTGGATAGTGTGGGGGCAGGGGCGGACTGACCATTTGGAAACTCGGGCACTGCCCGAGGGCCCGGGGTCAGTAGGGGGCCCCATGAGATGCCCCTGGTACTTTTTTCATAGCCTTTTTTGAGCTTGGGCAAGGACACAGGGGCCCCATGATACCCTATTGCCCGGGGGCCCCATGAGTTGTCAGTCCGCCCCTGGTGTGCGGTAGGGTATAATCGCTGCTGCATTTAAACTGCTGTCTGGGACTCCGCTAAGAGAGATCCCCCGTCTGCTGTCCTGCTGGCAATAGTTTCATCAGACAGGAAGCGAGGGAAAATCTCAGAAAGCAACAGAAATAAAAAAGCAGTAAACACCTAATGGGGGCTATAACTCTTCACCATTCTATTGAAAAGGTAAAAAAAAGACATACACTTGAAATGAGAATTCTTGGCCATAGAGTAATTTTTTCTTGGGTCAGTATATGAGATTCTCAAAGCAGACTGAAAAAAAGCGCTTCTATATATCTTTTATGCTGCTTTCTACTACAAATCTAATTGAAGCAGGCCATAGATGAAACAATTTGCTTTCCTTCCACCATGGATGAAAGGAAAGAAAACTGCTCAGTTGGGGGAATGCCTCCCGTGGTGCTATTGTGTTCTACTGGAAGGGAGCCTTCCCTGCCAGCAGAACACAATGGCAGCTATAGCCACTGGCAGTAATCACATAAAAAAAAAAAAATCACACAGACTGGTTGTACTGAAGTCGATCAAACAACAACCAGCCTGTCCAGAGATCGATCGAATCTCAGGCAGCCCCTTCGGAACTATGGATGGCTTTAGACACCAATTATCCAAAGCTTATTGATGAGCAATAGATTTAAAAGACAATTTCTACAGCATCTTGGAACGCTATATGACACCATAATTGGACCTTGCAATTACAAATGAAAGAGATTTCCGTTAAATATGATGGAATATTTAAAAGGTAGGCTTTTATCAAGACAGTCTCTAATGCAGTGTTTCTCAACCTTTTTTCAGTCAAGGCACCCTTTAAAATTATGGACAGTCCCTAGGCACCCTTTAAAATGATGGACAGTCTTGAGACACCCCTTTCCAAAAAGGGGTGCCTCAACATGTCCTTAATTTTAAAGAGGCACCCCATTCAAAAAAGTGAAACACTATTCTAATAGTTTTATGTAATGCAGCAACATCCACACATGTAGGACACCCAACATTAGAGGTGATTTATTCTTCCAAAGCCAATACACTTTTGCACACTGGTACCGACCAGTATTCCAGTGTTTCTCTTCCCCCTCAGTTTTTCTCCATCACTGAGCTAATGTAACCCCAGCACTCATGGAGAGGGGCAAGGGGAGGGGCAAACTAGGATGCTGTGCAGGCAGATGACATCCTCCTCAACTGATGATGTCATTGGTTGTCAGGATGCCGGCGGCTAGAAGGTTATAATGGCGCACAATGAAAACCTGTGGCTTTGTGTAACAAAAAGGCAGACTTCATCCACCCGCTGACTTATAAACAAGTTTTGGGCAATTGTTAGACATTTTGCCAAGGCACCCGTGAAGAAACCTCAAGGCACCCCAGAGCGCCTGGGCACCCTGGTTGAGTAAGGCTGCTCTAATGTACTAATGATTTTGATCAGAAAGTTTATCTAATTTGAATTTATTTGTAAATAAAGTGACACAAAACGTAAGGAAAACTATATTTATATATATATATACCTGAATATTCTACTGAAAGTATGATGTATTCTTAACTCAAAAAAGTACTTCCATTGATCTCAGCCTCCTTCAAATCTCCAAATTCCTTTTTTTTAGCTGCTGTGATTCAACTTCCTGTTGGAGGGTGGCTACGTTCGTTCTCCACGGTCCCGTTCTGTGTATGTTGGAATGTAGCCACCCTCTCTTGCTCACTCCTGAGATGGACTAGGAACTATGGACTATGTGATTTGTAGTATGCATAGAGCCATGTACATGACTGCAACTAACCTGCACTGCTCGTTCCAAACAAATGGAAGTGAGAGGGAAAAGGAAAGTTTCAGTAGATCACAAAGGATGATACAAGGTAGCAGAAAAACACACAACTAGAAAAGATTTTGTGAAAAAAAGACTACAGGGTCATTCAGTAGTGGATGCGAATGAATAAGGATAGTCAGTGTCACTTAATGGCTTTGCTTAGTCTGTACTTTATATATGGTACCGGCCCTCCTAGAGAAACATTATACCCAGCTGACTATGCAAACTCCCATTGTCAGCTATTGATTCTAAAAGTGTTTACTGGTTACAATGTAACAGTAAGATGTCACTTGGCCGATATTTATATGCTGTTATCTCAAAGATGTTACTTTTCAGGGACATCAGCACTTCTGCAGCGGCTGATTTTGATTAGTAAGCTGCTTCTTTTAGTAAAGCTCCTATAGGACTTTAGATTTTTATCAGATAACATGAAACTGATATCTGTGAGCATTTCTAATTGGTAAAAAAAATGTAATTGTAGATTGTCTGAAAAACATTAAGTCATAAGTAGTTGCTACCAGTAATAAGCATAGCCATGTCAAGGAGTATTTGAGCATCAGCGACCTCTACCTTGGGGTGCTTGGTAACACTCCATTCTATAAAGGGGGTACATTGATAAGTTTAGAAACACTAGTCTGTATTAAGATGGCCATAAACCTAAAGCTCGACACACATGCTACAATCTGATTGTATAATCTCCTTTAGATCTACTAACAACTATGTAGTGCAACTGTCTGCCTGATTGGATACAAATTGATTGGTTAGATTACAGTATATTACATTGTTTTGGTAAATCTAAAGTTGACTGTAGACAGATTGTATGGTCAGATTGTAATGTGTATGGCAACCTTTACAATTGTATTTTACAATCTCTCTACAATCCCTACAATTATGCAGTATGAGGGTGCTCCTAAACAACATAATCACTTTACATCCAATCAGGCAGGCGCTTGTCATAGATAGTTTTTGATAGATTGTAAAGTGCTGTGTAGACTGTTGATGCTATATAAATCCTGTATAATACTAATAATAGATCTAAGGATTGCTCAGTCAGCTTGTAATGTGTATGGTCAGCTTGCTGCAAGATCTGCAGCTTTCTACGTCTTATATTCATAAAGGCTCGTAACTGATCTAATCACTGCTGTAAAATAATCTCTTCCTCCCACAGTCCTCATCATGCTGAAATTGATCACACCCTCCCAGTGGGGAATCCGTCCTCATACATGATATGTCTAGAGGTAGCACTTACCACTCAGAGGTCCAGCTTTCACCTTGCAGCTGTCTGCAGATGTTTTCTCTCTGTTGGCTGTCAGTTGCCTCTGTCCTGCAGTAGATGGGACTGTGTGCCTTATAATGCTCAGCTCTGTTCTCTGATTGGCTGGCATTGTGCCTTAGGCGTGGCAGCCTGTCATTGTGCAGAGGCTGTACCGCAGGCTCATCATCCAGTACATTAACTCTTTGCAAACAGGAGAGCGCGCCTGTGACTCAACTAAAGGGGATTCACATGAGTTTCGTAGGAAATGAACTGATCAAGGCGACACATGCCACACAAAATACTAAAAAAGGAAACACAAGCAAAAATCAATGTTATGAATTTTCGCAAGCCAGTCTGAACTTTTTTCTATTCTAAATCAGATCTGGGAGACAATGCATTGTATTATGGGCAAGCTCTAAAAGTTTTTTCCTCCTGTGTATATAAATAGGAGATATTATAATAGCCATCATATGTTTAAAATAACTATAGGCAAAACTTTTTTTTCATTTTGCATAAAGTAAGAATACTGTCAGGTTTTTTTTGTGCCATCTGTGTCCCATAGGGGAGAATTCCCATCACTTCCTGTCCCATCACTACAACAGGAAGTGAGGGAATCCCCGGGTGTCCAGAACTAGTGTCCCCTTTGAAGCAATCCCCTATATTACTTTTCTGGGGACAACCCAAAACTTGGGATTTTATTGTAACCCCTTGATGCCAACATCACATAAATATGCGGCCTCACAGAACTGGGCTTTTTTCCATGGGGCCGCATATTTGTGTACCTGTCTTTGTGCTGGGAACACACCACACCGCGTGCTCCCAGCACAAAGACTGGGGTGTCACAAAGAGCCCCGGGTCCCGTTCTAACAATCGGGACCCAGAACTCCCAATTCCGGGTGACATGATCGCTGTGATAGCCTCTGATTGGCTATCACAGTGATCAGTCACTGTGAAGCACACACCCCCCTTGTTTTTTTTTTCTCTCTGAATGGAGGAGAGAGATACATTGTATCTCTCTCTCTCCTTGCATAGAGAAAATACAACTGTTTGTAAATAAAAGATTAAATATTAAATAAAAAAAAAAGAAAAAATACCTAGATCAAGGTTTGATCTAGTTCAGTGCCAAGGTTAGTGTTTGGGTCAGGGGCGGACTGACCATTTGGAAACTCAGGCACTGCCCGAGGGCCCAGGGACAGTAGGGGGCCCCATGAGATGCCCCTGCTACCTTTTTCATAGGCTTTTTTGAATTTGGGCAAGGACACAGGGGCCCCATGATCCCCTATTGCCCGGGGGCCCCATTAGTTGTCAGTCCACCCCTGGTCAGGGTCAAAGGTCAAGGTCAAAGGTCAGGATTTATATTTTTTTAACTGGCATCAGTGTCAGTTAGTGTCAGTGTGTTTTAGGTAAAAAAAACAAAAAACAAACACGCACTATTGTTTCTGGGCTGTACTACAGGTACAAACAACAAATAACATACACATACTGTATATGGTATCGCTGCGATCGCCAAGAGCTGGAAAATTTATTTTGGGTTGTTCTTTGGTGGTAGGTCATGGTACTTAAAAGAAACACACAGCTACATTTAAAAAAAATGTTTTTATTTTACTATTTTTGGTCAGTTTTCCTTTCATATTTAAAAAAATCAGGAGATATCCATTATCATTTACCACCAAATGAAAGCCCAATTTGTCCTGTGGTTTTACTAACTAATCAAAGTTGCAAAATTGTGCTTAGACATTAAGATTTGTTTTATCCTTAGGCATGAAGGGGTTAATTTCACTTTCTATTATAATGGTAAACAGGACAAATAGAGAAGGTAGATCTCCCTAACTGTGGCAGACAGAAATCAATTCCTGACAGGGGTTGTAATCCCTCTCCACTCTATCCAAATCCAAAAAAGATGTTTTGCCCTTTAGTCACACTTCAACTAA